AGGTGCGCTTTTACTCATCTTTTAATCTTCATTTCTCTCTATATTAACATTCATTTTACAGATGCGCAAGTATAAATCCAAGATGGCCCCTTTGGCCTCGGCTCCGGCAGCTGCAGTGATTCAAACACAGCAGCAAAAGGCCTACGACATTTTATTCAAGGGTAAAGGAAAAGGTCCATTGGCTGAGCGTTCAGTAGAGCAAGAGTGGTATGCATACATTGCAGAGCCCACAGATGGATTTGTGGATGCTATCACATACTGGAAGGTGAGTGTACACTTACTGAAACTTGTGCCATAATTTTTCTCTCCATTTTTCTCCATTTTTTTTCGAAATATTGATTTATCTTCACATTTTAGGCATCTCAGACCAGGTTTCCAACCATCTATGCCATTGCAATGGATATTCTGCCTATTCAAGCCTCTGCTGTGCCCTGTGAACGCGTCTTCTCATCCGGAAAGATAACAGTCACAGACCGGTGCAACAAAATCGGTGGAGAACTCATGGAAGCACTGCAAATTCTCAAGTTCAGGTTCAAGCAAGGCCATTCTCTGTCTTTCACACATGGTTTGGACATAGAAGAGGAGCTCAAGGACTTGGAGAGCCGTGCAGAAGAGTCTCCAGAGGAGATCAGTTCATATTTAGCATCACTCAAGTAGGACAAGCAATGTTACGATGAATTCCGCAGTATCGGTGTGAACTACCTTCCTTTTTGGGAGGGACGATTGGCTGCAAGCCGCTGCTCAGCCATAGTCGCTTATAGTTGCGGCTGCACTGCAGCTTGACTTGACTCGGCTGATCCCAAAAAGGAAAAGCCGTCCAAAGTCAAGTCACAGCCAAGCCGCGCCAAACCGTGGCAACACTAATCCCAGTTGATGGAAACACCATATATAGCATGCCAAGAGGTGCCGGAGAGGCTCTACAGGCCCTACGCAGTTGCTAGCTCAGTTACTAGTAAGTAATACATCACACACCGTAGTAGTTACTGCCACATGATTAATCAAACATGCACCAAAGGGTGTCGCTCTTGCGCATGCTGCCAAGAAAGCTGTCTGGCTCCGCCGCCTTCTCACCAAACTCGGCACTTCCTCGGACTCTCCTATAACCGTTCACATGGAAAATCAATCTGCTATCGCATATGCACACAACCACCAATTCCACGCCTGCTCAAAACAGATCGACATCCGGCATCATTTCCTCCGCGATCTCATCGATGCCAGTACTATCTCCGTTATTCACTGTGCCTCCAAAGACAACGCTGCCAACATGTTTACCAAGGCGCTCGCTCGCCCTACTCACACCCGGCAGCTCTCCCTCGCAAACATGACTGTTCGTTGAGAGGGAGTGTTGTAGTATCTGGGGCGCTGGATGCGCATCAGCTGCGCCGACAGAGATACCAACATGACACGCTTAGGCCGTCATGCCCAATATAGATCTGTCATGCCCATTTTAGATATGACCTGCGCAGAGCACTCTCGGCTCTGTGCCCCGTTATGTTTCCTTGTAGTCTCAGCTTTCTAAGGTACATTTGATTGGTCTGACCAGATTAGGATGTAGATAACCTATATAAGAACATGTAGTATTATTCTAGGAATTTATCCTTGATTACTCGTGAATCCCCTGCCTGCGCAAAGTCTTTCACAACATATGCACTCGAAGAGACACAAAGAAAAATGTAACGACTACACTAAAGAATTGGAACAACACTGTAGAAATACCTACCCCAGCACCGTTTGACACCACAACTGTCTTCTTAAACCAGGGGACATACCAATGGATCCGGGAAAGTGGCAACAATTGTACCCCAACCCAGATCAAGCTGAACGAAAATTCACACAGTGGTATGCAAAGTATGCAGTATCTCAATACCAAATACTTTTCAATCAAGACGAAAGCCTCCCAGAAGTTGAGAAAGAGGCACTGGCACGAGAGTTTGGCTACAGGGGCAAATACAAACCTGTAGGGCAAACTTTTGAGGCGTTTTCCAATGCCAAAGATCCGACCACAGACGAGAATGATTGGGGCAATCAGGTTGATGAGGAGCACAGATAAATGTGTAAATCGTCATAAGACGGCTGGGGTATAACCGTCCGACCACCGGTGACTAGTGATGTGCGGGCCCGGCTTGGGCTCAAAGCCCGGGCTTGGGCTTGTGGCAGCGTCGAGCCGAGCCCTGAGCCCGAGCCGAGCCCGAGCCCGGCCCAAGCCGCAGGCTTAAGCCCGGGCTTGCTCACAATACAATGAATATTATGGTGCTATGAAAGGGGAGTATATTTGGATGTAGTAGATTATTACTGCGTGTACTCACTGAATTCAGCCTCCAGAAGATGTACACTCGGGGAATAAGTCAAGTCGCAGCGAAGCCCACGAGCGCGCGCCTACGGCAGGCACCAAACGGTGATGCACAATCGTGCTCGGTGGGAACCGTCGAGTCTAAAATATCAATATTATGTCTGGTATGTACATCTTAGATCTCTCCCACCTTATCCTAAACTCAGGGAATAGTAACAGAGCCGGTACACCCAAGCCTGGGCTTCCGGGCCGGGCTTGGGCTTGGGCTTGACTATGCTCCGAGCCCGGCCTTGAGCCCGCTGCCAGGCTTGGCTCGGGTCAGGCTTTTTGGGCCGGGCTTGGCGGGCTCGCAGGCTTTGAGGCCCGGCCCGCACATCACTACTGGTGACCATACCTAACGGGGGTCACCATGATAAATTTTGTGTTT